GGAAGGAAGGTTGGGCAATCCTACTTCCGTAGTGATACTGCCTCGGAAACCCAAGGAGGGGTCGCTATGAGTCAGGGCCAACTCGATGGCAAACAACAACAACAACATGAATTGGAACTGACTTGATGGCAGGGAGTTTTTTGGTTTAATATTCATGGAAGGAGACTGCCACATCTTTTACCTGCAGAGTAGCTGGTGGGTTTAAACTACTGACCTCTTTGTTAGCCAAAACATAACCAAACTCACTGCTGTTGAGTCGGCTCTGACTCAGAGAGACTCCTCCGTGGGTTTCTGAGGCAGTATCACTATGGAAGTAGACTGACTAATCTGCCTTCCTAGGAGTGGCTGGTGGGTTTGAACCACCAGCCTTCTGGTTAGCAGTCAAATGCTTTAGGCACTAGCAGACAAGTACTTTAACCACTGTGCCACCAAGGCTCCTTTTAAAAAAGCACTGGTAATCTATAATCAGATTAATATCGATACCAAAAGAAAATCGGGCATTATTGAAGGAAATCTGTTATCAGGCTTAAAGCAGGGAAGATAAACTATCGGCAGACAACCAGCGTTCTCCCTCTTGTCGGCCTTCTCTCAAAAGGCCGAGATGACACCTTGAGCCCAAATCCTACTATGCACATGAAACCCTCGACCAGAAATGGGTCAAGCAAGGTTCTGATGTAGAAACAAGATAGAAATCATCACAAAAAATAAACCAGATCCAGCGGCTCCACCCCGTGATCCACTCACCTCATTGGTGTAGTCCTTTAGGACGCCCTGATACACATCCGTGCCATTGGGCCTGTTGATCACAATACCTGGAGTGGGATTGCTGAAAATTAAATGACACCACTGAACACAAGACAATGCATCTCTGAAACCTCATCCCCAAAAATGCCCCATGATGTGAAAAAGCAGGAAATAAGCACGCCTGGTCGACAGCACTGCTCACCGCCGGCAGTCGCCAGTGTGTGTGATTTTAGCAGCTGGGGAGCTCAAGTGCGCCCCAGTCCAAGAGTTACCACTGCCCAAGAGTTCTGGACCCAGCACAGAGCTGAACTCTAAAAACCTAGGCGAGGGACAAAAGCCTGGGGCTAGTCTCATCTCCAAGGAACTCTGGTGGCACAGTGGCTAAAACATTTGGCTGCTAACAAAAAGGGTAGCGGTTTGAACACACCAGCTGCTCCATGGGAGAAAGATGAGGCGGTCTGCTCCTGCGAAGATTACAGCCTTGGAAACCCCACAGGAGTTCTACCCCGTCCTAGAGGGTTACTGTGAGTCGGAATCAACTCGATGGCAGTGGGTTTTTGGTTTAGTCTGGCCTCCTGGAAAAAATCAAAACCTACTGCCGCCACTGGGGTGACCGAGTCATGGCAAGCTCGTGTGCGTCTGAGCAGAACGGTGTTCACAGGTCCCCAGTGGCTGAGTTTTCAGAAGTGGGTGGCTGTGTCTGTCTGCCCCAGCAGACTCAAACCTCCTTCCTTTCACTTAGCAGCCAAGCAGGTTGAACTTCCCCACCCCACCACCATCCAGGGACTCCTAGTCTCCCAGTAGAAACCAGTTAACATCTTGGGCCCAAGATCCCACCAAGGATGATCTGAGAGCTAAACTTCTTTCAGAAAAATACAGGAGAGAAAATAAGACTTTCATATGAGACCTTAGGTCAAGCCTCAGAACGTAGTGTGAACTGTGCACGTGACCCCAGAAAAGGCTAGTACCCATTTGTGGCAGTTAAGTTTGTGTGTCAGCTTGGCTGGGCCCAGTTGAGTGGCTGGGCAGCTGGTGGTAGTTATTCCCCATGATAAAACTGGCAATCAACTCCGTGGTGGGATCTACCACAAGCAGCTGAGTAGCTGCTTTGGGTATGTGGTCTGCTTCCTGTATATGAGAAACAGCTTTGGGAACAGTCTCTAGCTTATGGCACGCTTGAACCCTGCATGTAGTCAAGTCATTGCTCAGCAGCCTGCCATGCTCTGCCGACCTTGAGACTTTCACTGGGCTTGAATCAATGGCCTGCCATGTGGTTTGGTAACACCAGGACTGTGCCTTTTTACTTGCTGACCTTGGGTTTGTCACTCTTAGCAGCCAGCAGCTGCCTGAGTGAAGAGATGCCTCTAGCTTCAATGGGCCAGGAGCAAGTGGCAGAGTTGAAGCCCAAGGTCAAGGGCTGTCACCCAGCCCCTAGAACCTGGCACTTTGAACTTGGACTTAAAGTCTCCACAATTATAAGAGAGAAAACTCCTGTTTGTTCAAGCCATCCTATTTGTGGTATCTGCTATTAGAATGGCACTGGGTAACCAAAACACCACCCCAGAGGCCACAGCAGGCTACCTGGGGGCCATGGCCGTGAGCACCCACACTGGCTGCTTCCGTATGCAATGAGGTAAGCAGGTTCGGCTGGAGTATTTTTAAAACTAAATTAAAAAAAAAAAAAGTAGGAAAAAGGGCACTGGGGTCCAACCTATAAAAAAGAGCCTTCTATGTAGAGGGACATGTCTCCTGGGGTCCCCTCTGGGCTGTTTCCCTGCTGGGAAGTTAGGAACAGGCACTGTGTGTGGAATCCAGTGTTAAGTTCCCCGAGGTGAGATGTGACTTATGGTTAGACCCTTTCAAGGCAAAGAACCAAGAGGCTGGCAGTTCAAACCTACCAGCTACTCCTAGGAAGGAAGGTTGGGCAATCTACTTCCATAGTGATACCGCCTCGGAAACCCAAGGAGGGGTGGGTCACTATGAGTCGGGGCTGGCTGACTTGACGGCACATAACAACAACAACAAGGCAAAGAACACCCTTCCGCATCCATTTCCTATCTCTGCCACTGCCAAGGTGACCCTGAGTTACCCTCAAACCTCAATGTGGTCAGCCCCATGGTCACTGCCGTTCGGGCTTTCATCTGGGAGTCTGGAGCCTGAATGATTCGTGTTCTAAGCTCAGGCCACTGCTGTGCAATTCTCCGAGTCTGGAGGGGTCGCCTTTTCTTTTTTAATGCCCTGAAGTTCTCCGTCATGAACTTCAAAGTGTCCCTACTTACTCTCCATGGTTGGCAATGTCGTCGTACATCATCACAATGATCTGCTCGTCGGGAATCCCATTGCGGTGAACAATCTGGTAGGCGTGGCATGCATCCGCCTGGGAAAAGTGATGGTTTCAAGAGTCAGACTTTGCCCAGAAGGAGGCTGATTCGAGAGGTCTAAGGATCCACGTGTCCTGACCTGGCTCATGGAAGACTGTCTAAGAACACCTCCCTATGGGTCAGCTACTTAAACTACTTTAAATGCATACATTTGTATTTTTTTAATCTTAGTTTTTAAAGATTTCCCACCTCCCTTCCTTTATCTAAACCCTCATGCAGCAGGCAGTCAGTACACACCACCGTATTGACAGATAACAAGGGCGTTTCAAAGTCCTTAGTAATATTTTCACATCACAGTAAAATCTCCTGACAACACTGACAGACTTGGGTCTTATAAACAGACTGACTCAGACCGATGAGCCTACAGGTCACCAGCTGGTTCTGAACCACACGGGAGCCTTCTGATTCAAGCACTTTTATCTGCCAGAGTCAGAGAATTAACTGAAAACCCCAAAGTTCAACTCAGGAAGGGAAATGAGAATGTGCTCTTTAGTTTAAGAAATACCAGAAGAGACCTGGCAGTGAAACTGTTCAGTGCTTGTCTGTGAACCAAAAGGCTGGTGGTTCAAACCTACCCGTGGTTCTGCAGGAGAAAGACCTGGCAATCTCCTGTAGACTGCAGCCCAAAAAGTGCTGTGAGGCAGTTCTACTGCCGTCACGTGGGGCTGCTGGGAGCCCAAATCGACTCGACAGCACCCAACAACAACAACTGCTTGACTCCAGGGAAACGGGAGGAGACCACCCCAAATAAACCAGTAACTAGCAACCGTAGCAATGGTCACATTGGGGCTGGAGGAAAACTCTCCTCATGTGACTGATTCCCTGCCCACACTTGGGTGGACACATTCTTGCTTCCTTATTTTCGGTGATACACACCACACTCCACAAGGCAGAAATCATTTGAGGACAGAAAGAAAAAATGAAGCCACTTTCTGCTTCCATTTCGTAACGCCTTCCCTAGAAGACAGACCCGGGATGAGGAGAGCAGTCTGTGCAGCTAGCTGTCCACTGAGGGAGGACAGCTGCAGGGACTGGTCCCCACGCCCCATCCTCAACTGCACTGGCAGAGCAAGAGACACACTC